ATCCTTTCTTTTATGATCATCACCAGGAATTCTATCACCAGAACGCTTCTTGTTGATATTCTTCTTTACTATATTCACAGTTAATACAGTGGGGTATGCTATAACGAACGGATTCTACTACGAATATTCCTATAACGAACGGTTTTACCTATAAAATTGAGAATGCTATAACGAACGAAACTCCTACAACGAACATTATTTAATTTTTTTTTTTTTCTAATTTATTGTTTTTTTATTACAAATATTAATGATATTCTTTATTTCAGGGGTTTAGATGCATCTTTATGCACTTTTTTACAATTTTTAAAATTTTATATTATATTTTTCAGTGTTAAGTGGTTGTATTTGGGGGCCTGGAACGGATTAATCCTATAATGAACGAATGCTATAACGAACAAGGTTCTAGAACCAATTAGATTCGTTATAGCATACCCCACTGTACCACAAAATTGGAGAAATAGTAAGCAAAAATCGCGTTATAGCAAACAAGCGTTCGCGTTATACAAATATCGTTCCTAATTCATAAATCGCGTTAGAGCAAATTCGCGTTATCAAAACACGCGTTATAGCAGAACTCACTGTATATATATATATATATATATATATATATATATATATATATATATATATATATATATATATATATATATATATATATATATATATATATACAGTATATATATATATATAGTAGTATATATATATATATATATATATATATATATATATATATATATATATATATATATATATATATATATATATATATATATATATATATATATATATATATATATATATATATAAACACAGGTAGTTCTGCTATAACGCGATAATTGTGTTCTTGTAAAATATCGTGTTATAGAAAATCGCGTAATAGAAATAACAGGGCTTATGGAGAAAATAGGGTTAGGTGCAGATTACTCGAAATCGAAAAAAAATTAGTAGTTAGCCTAACACAAAGGATAGCACAGTCTAAATAAATGTTACATTCATATCTAATAATGAAATCATACAGTAAATGTAATACTTTACCTTGAAAAAATATGAATGTAACTTGATGGGGGAGAAGGGTGATTTTGAGGTTGATAACATCGAGCTTCTCTTCAAGTGTTATATCCTTTCTTTTACGATCATCACCGGGAATTCTATCACCAGAACGCTTCTTGGAGATATTCTTCTTTACCATATTCACAGTTAATACCACAAAATTGGAGAAATAGTAAGCAAAAATCGCGTTATAGCAAACAAGCGTTCGCGTTATACAAATATCGTTCCTAATTCATAAATCGCGTTAGAGCAAATTCGCGTTATCAAAACACGCGTTATAGCAGAACTCACTGTATATATATATATATATATATATATATATATATATATATATATATATATATATATATATATATATATATATATATATATATATATATATATATATATATATATATATATATATATATATATATATATATATATATATATATATATATATATATTTATTATATATATATATATATTTTTTTTCACACATGGAAATACATTTACAGGTCTCCCTTTCACAGTATCATATTATATCACTGTCTTTTTTTAATTGTTAACCCATGTAGAGCAAACCAGTACTGTATCACTGTACTAACACATTCTTTTGTGTGGTGGGTAGGTATCAATGCTTCACGTTGTGGTAAAGAAGGTGTTAATGAATTTTCCCAAACCCATAATCTGTGTTCCTCCTCTCCAGGTATTAACCATCGCAGTGTTGGTCATTTTGATCACAGCACCCTTAGGAGCAGCTGCCATCACTCTGTCAGCACCCAAGCTTCTCAGCAGATCAAACCAAGCTCACACACAGTCACCTGGCACCCCGGAGAAAACTATGGAGGCTTGAGTGGCCCTTTTTGTCTCATAACTGCATTTATCAGTTAACCCTCTTGCTGCTGGATGACAAAATATTTATCATCCGTTTCAATATACACAGAAGACAGCTAAAAGCGGTTGAGATACACTTTGCTGACCCCCAAGGCTAAATATAATGCACGAGAAAATGTTTATTCCCTTAATGATTTTCACATTTTTTCACATTGTGGTAAGTACCTGTATTTGTTTTATTTTATTTTTTGGTGCGTTCTGTATGTAGGATGTTGCGTGCATGTACTGTAACTGCGTGAAATTTTTTTTTTAAATTACGAGTTTAAAAAGAAATATAGGTACAGTATCCCTCGAGATATGATTTGGTTAGGTTCCAGAAAATCATTCGTTTGGTGAATTTTCATATCTCGAATAGAAAAATATATGGAAAAATAGGGTTTGGTTCCCCATTGACTAAAATACTCCAATATCATACCTCAAAAATACAAAATCTATTCACTAACAAGAAAAAACCTAACTAACTACAGTAATTGAATTGAATTGAAACAGTTTATTTAGCCAGAAAAACACAGATACAGAATGGATAATAACAGCAATATTAACATGGCTGAGCCAGTTGAGAACCTGAGCTCTCTTTGAGGCACCTGATATATACTATACATTTATCTCAAGGAAGTATTATGTAACATTTAGTAACATCTGGAATAGTACAATAGCATGGTGGTAATAAGAACATCTCATAATGTTACCATGGTTATCACTTCAATATTTATTTATTTTATTATTTATCATTTTTATTTTTCATTTATTTTTTTTATTTTTTTAGTATTATTTTGTTTACTTATTTATTTATACATAAATATACACATACATATACATATATACACACACACACACATATATATATATATATATATATATATATATATATATATATATATATATATATATATATATATATATATATATATATATATATATATATAAAGAAAATATTGACAAAATTCGAGAAATTCTAAAGGTGACAAAAAAAGTTACCGTATATACTTGTGTGTAGTTCGAGTTTTTAAGACCAAATTATTTGGCAAAAAATTGGGGGTAGACTTCTAAACGGGTAATAGTTTCGTTAGGTTGAAAAATATTTACCAGTAACTACCAGTAAACAATGGAAACGACGCACCAATTCACCACCAGCTGTGAGTGTCGGTACAGTTGCCAGGGCAGATCTCTTGCGTCATCATAGCAAGCCCAAAGTAGCCAAATGCATGGTATGGTATGCACAGGACGATGTAAAACATAAAGTATTCATTTTTTAAAGTTTATTTATAGAAATACTGTACATAAATTTTTTTCATTCCCTTTGAAACATCAATCTTTGTTAATTAAATTTGAAACAAAAGAAAACTACGATACCATATGTCTAAATACCGGGTATTTTCATTAAAACGTTACATCACAAGTATATTTTACCTTAACTGTGACTGAATGAATATATTCTCAGAAATAAATATGGAAATGTAATATTTTTGCAGAAATGACGTTTATATTACAGTGGAAAGTGGGATAAAATTATGACAAAAACAATGACTTTTGCTTTCTTTCGTTGTTCAAAAGATTTTACCGTGGAACAAACCTGTACTGTACATGTACTAAATGATTACGGTACTTAAATTGTTATGTCTATTGCAAATATAGATTGTTTATACAGGTATTCAAATAAATCCCTATCTTACAAGAATCCCAGCAATGTACAGTAAGTTATATTCACCCAGGTCGTTTGGGTGGCAAATTATGAGAAGAGCTTAGTCACTCTTAAGTAATGATAAATAAACAGTAGGCCTTCAGTGCCAACTGTTACATCTTATCTCAAATAAATAAACAAACACCACACTCACCCCACCTCCCGCCCCCGCCTCCCTCCCATGCTCACTGGCTACCTCCCTCCTTGTGTTCCCAGACAAAAGATTGGTGATAACTTTATTCTTTAAGGTGTTTATTTTATATAATATCTCAGACTAAAGTTAGGAGATTATAATTTGCATTGCTGGAATCCTTGCAAGACAGCCAATAATTTGAATATAAACGTCATATATTTTGCTCAAGATATAAAAATGTAGTACACTAGTGTACAATACTGTGTAGTACATTTTATAATACAGTATAAAGTTTTCAACTGTATTTTTGGGTAGACTTACATAAATTTCTTCATTTATTTTCATCCATTTACATGCACACACTGTACTAAAAGAAATAAATGACCTTAGTGCAAAGCTGGAGTGTGCATGTACTAATTTCATTACGGTACTAAAATTGTTATGTCAAGTGCAAATTAGAGCATGTTGCTATTCAAATTAATCAGTGTCTTACAAGAATCCCAGCAATGTTAATTATATTCTCCCAGGTCATTTCAGTGGCATTTTAAAATGGGAGAAGCGTAGTAGGACTGTTAAATAAACACACAGAGACCTTCGGCTCAAACTGTCAAACATATCACCTCAACCCACCCCTCGCTGGCTGGCTGGCTCCGTCCCTCCCTCCCTAATCTGCTCAGCCGGGGTTTTATTTAGGCTTATAGTTTTTATCTTGTATAATATCTCAGACTAAAATTAGGAGATTATAATTTGCATTGCTGGAATCCTTGCAAGACAGCCAATAATTTGAATATAAACGTCATATATTTTGCTCAAGAGATAAAAATTGTTGTACTAGAGTACAGTACTGGTTTTCAGTTAAAAAACTGTTGTATTACAATAATATTCCCTCCGAATTGACTTGAATAACTACTTGAATGGAATTATACAATATTTTTGTTGAAACTACCCGGGCTTCAGTGTAAAGTGTCGTAAAAATAAATGGTAAACAATTTGCCTATGGCACTCTGTGTTTCAGGCACGGCGAGCCTCAGTTTATAGGACGTAGAGTGTTTTTATTGAAGGTTTTGTTGTAACAATACCCTCAATAACTTGGGTCGACCTATAAACAAGGAATATAATAAATTAACTGATTTTTTGGTAAAAAAAATCAGGGTTGACCTACAATGCTAATGTCAACACAAGCGTGGTTACAGCGAGACTGACTGAGTGAGGGAGCGCGGGGTGGCGTGACGCGTGTGTGTGTGGCGGGCGCAATTTGAATGTACTTCAATTACTTCAATGTACAGAATATTCCTCCGGCAGGGCAATCCGCGTATTTGCGAATCCGTGTATGCTAAACCCGCGTATGTGAAGGGCTGACTGTATTTATTGCAATGGTAATTTCTTATCTATTTACATGATAATTTCCGATAAAACGGTTTTGATGGTACAATAAAAGCTGGTACTGTAAATATAGTAGGTATTACAAGAAATATTAATACTTAGACAATAGTACACAACTATACAGTGGTCCCTCGGTTAACGAACACAATTCGTTCCAGAAGGTTGTTCGTTAACCGAAAATTTCGTAAACCGAAACCATTGTTTCAATGGGATTTTGGGTAATTGGTTCCAGCTCACCGAAAATTACATACGTACAAAGTAAAAATAAATGCAGTAAAGTACACTTACTTTGAGGTGTGTATGTAGAAGGCTCCTGGTCGATGATGATGATGATGGGAATTAGAAGTGGGGGTGGAGGAGAAGGGAGAAGAGAAGGAAGTGGGGGTGGAAGAGAAATCACCCCATGCTTCATGCCGTCATTTCACCCATAAAATTTTGAGTTCACTTGGTGTAATTCAAGATTATTTTCTTTAAATCAACACTGCACTGCACTATATATTGTCAATATGTAAAATAAATTTCAGAATGACCAATAATTGTACTGTAAAAATGTAAAAATAGTTTATGTTCAAGAGAGTCTTAAGCAAGCTGTTACCTCAACTGACTAGAGATACAAAGTGACGCCTGTTTGGTGAGTTGAGTGGCTGTTTGGCGCACTAAAAACTAGTTTCCTGTACTTCAATTATGTTAAATAATTGTTAAAATGACTAAAAAATTTAATATAAAACTTGGAAAATTATTGAATAGTACAACCTTCTTGATATTTACTCAAGTGGGAACGAATTTAAGCCCTAGACCCGATTACTGTATTGGCGGACTAATATTCCAGCTGGTTAGCAAGCGAAAACATGTTGAGAGGAATTCGTAAGGAATTCGTTAACCTAATTTTTTTTGTTAACCGAATTGAATATTCTTATAGAAGGTAATTCATTAACCGAGGGACCACTGTATTGTAATTTACTTTCCAACACATTAAAATCATTAAGAAAGTACTTTCTACTAGATGAAAATATCCAGCCAAAACTATTGAGGAAAAGCTAAATCAAAGTTAAACACAGCCACCAGTGGTGCCATTTGCATAGACACTGGCTGCTTCATGAGTGGCTGCCCTCAAGCGTTGCCATAGCAATCTGCCTCTGCCGACCTGCAACATTTCCTCCCCCACTTTCACACACAAAGAAATGGTTATTTCCTTTATGCTTTTGAGCTTATGATAGTTATTTCTTTTACTTTATTTTTCACATTATGTATGTAGGATTGTGTGCATGTAACTGTGTAAAAAAGTGAAGAAATTGAAGTTATATATCCGAAACTAAGAATTGAAGAATAATCAAAACATACCTAACTCCCCTCAGCTCATCCTGCTAACTCTCGCTGGTGCATGAAGAAATATTTATTCCCTCTATGTTTTTGACCTTATGATAATTATTACTACTATTATTATTAGTATTAGTATTTATTTTTATTTTTTGCACATTCTGTATGTAGGATTGTGTGTCCATGTAACTGAATGAAAAAAATATGAAGAAAGTTATGTTGAAAAATAACCATAACATATCTCCTACCTCAGTACCTCAGCCTGGTAGGAAGAGCATTAGGAGGATGTGGCTGCCCCAGCTGACTCCCAGTGCACGCGATTTAAATTTTTGCCGGGACCCAAATTTGTATAAGTGGGGAAAGCTTTCATAACATGAAATAGTGGTGTCAATTTTGGAAATACTGAACATACAAGTGAATTTTTGCATCTCGAACGTTTGTATTTCGAGGGATATCTGTACCCATAGCAAAACATACAGCTCATTGGATGATAAATATTTCATCATCGGGTAGGGAACAGTTAGAAATTTAACCACTTGGCCTAGTAGCAAGAGGGTTAAGATGCATTGGGTTAGTATGTAAGTGGAGAAAATGAAATGGGTTTATATGAGTACTCTCACTTACTTAAACATTATTTCACATGTCTACCTCACCTGTGCAATAGTTTAATGAAATTGCAATATGAATCTTTTGGATCACCCCATTTTAGGGAGTGCAGTACTACATTGGGATGATCCTTGTCTTCGGTTTTGAGATTTGGGGAAGGGGACCTTGCTTGGGCTAAAGAGTATGGGGGTAGGATGGAGGGCTTTGTGCCAACATTATAAAAAGGGATCACAATTGTGCCAACTGCATTAGGTTCCTTTTTATGTATTAAAGATTTGTGACCAATAGTATGCAAATTTAAGTAGCTGTAATTGGGAAACTGTAGAGCTGTAAAGGCTAAGTAGATCACAGGAGGTTGTAATCAAGTATACAGGACATACAGTAAGTAACTCTGGTCAGGTAGCTGTACTGTATTCTTGTGAGGAGTGATGCATCCACCATAAGTTAAGTGGAG